CAATATGCTGTTTCTGATGCTATTCAAGATTTTATCTCCTTTGAACTCCTTTCATTTGGGTTGGGCGAGGACTTGGGCTTTATCTTCAGGGACAAAAATAAGCCTCTAATAGACACATGCAAGAACTTTTGATCATTTCACCGCTCATGTTAAAGGAGGATTAGAAAAAAATTCCCCGCCCCGTACCTAACAAATTTGAGAGTGTGGGGTTTGGGGGAAGTGGGTGAGAAAGGGTAGGGGTTCATCTCCACAGTGGCCAGGGACTGATGGGACAGCATGAGAGCTGCCCTATGTAAAGCTAATCAGCAGCTGGTAAACAAAGCAGAGAATCCCATTCCTCACTGAAGCAAACCTGGAAGTACTTAGGTGAGGGTACTGACTGAAAATCCTGGGTTTGCATCTCTTGACGCCAGCACAGTTAAGAAGGCAAGCGCTTCTCCCAGCTACTTAAAACGCAAACAAGAAGGGAGCCTGGAGTCCTAGCAACAGGTTGGGGACCAAGATTCCAGGGTGGGAGAGAAGCTTAACAGATCTATTGCCAAAAGAGACAGAAAGAATTCCAGGGTGGGAGAGAAGCTTAACAGATCTATTGCCAAAAGAGACAGAAAGAAGGGAGGAAGGACGAATAAGCAGCAGTGGAAGAAGTCTGGTATAGACAACTCCTAGACAATTCCACCAGGTAGCCTGGACTTTATTATGCTACACCCAACATGTACGACTATAACCCCTAAATTAAAAAATAAATCCTCTGGGTTTTCCTTGATGAACCAGGTAGGTGGGAAGAGGACAACGGGTCAGCAGGGGCCAGGTCTAGTGTTTAGTATCTGCCATTCCCGGAGGCACTCCCTTCCAAACAGAAACATGCTGGCTGTTAGCATATTAGATGATTATCAAAGGGAAGCGATGGAAGAGTCTCTACAGCCTCTGCAAATGTTTTGTGATGCTATTAAGGGGCGCAGATATACAGCCAAGAGAGCAGCGGCTCCCACATATCATTTTTCTGTTTGGATTCACTGTTCACAGTTGCTACTCTAAGTCCCACGTTTCCTTACTTTAGGAGAAAGAAAGAATCCAGCTGCATTTCCAGATCTTTGACAACTCATAGGCCATGACAACTGTTGGGTGATGGATCTGCATGTAATTGGAGATTACAGTTACTCCTCTAAGCAGTTATTAGGATTGCAATTATTCCTTCCAGCTGATCACTACTACTTGCTGCTTAGTTCCAAACTGTAGATGATGCCCTTGAGGTCTATATCCTGACGTCGTATCTAGCCCCTTAATCACCCTTGAAATTGTTTTGCATTACCTCAGACTCCCAAGAAAAGCATGCCTGAGAAGAGTCCCTTTTTTTATTTTCCTTGCTTTTCTTTAGCACCACCGCTCTATCCACCTTCTGACTGTGTTTTTTTTAGGGTACTCCCTCCATAGAGGTGCACGCAACGCAGTTCTGATTCACAGAACTGCACCCAATTCACCCAGACCTCAGAACCGGCCTGTGTAAAACAAAAGAGCCAGAAACTGGCACCTCACTAAAATCAAAAGGATACCTGGCCTATTCCGCCAGTTCTTCTGCTTGTCTTCTGCCAGTTCATGCCTTCTCTCTGTCAAAGCCTGCCTGCAGTTTGGGGAGGTCTCCGGGCAGCTCTCTTGCTCACCAGCAGCTGTCAGTCGTGAGCTGCCCTGTCAAGACTCCTGCACCAACCACTCAGCATCACCATTACTTACAACGGACACTTCAAGACACTACATTAACAGGTTCCTAAAAATAATAATTAAAAAATAATAAAAAACCCAGAGTCTCTAGATATGAAGACTGCTGAAATGGAATGACATGTATCTACCCACCTTTATTTGGAGAAGATTTGACTCCAAATAGGCTGCATAATGTTTCAGGGCATGTCTGATAGCAGACTCTGATAAGGAGGGCAGATCTAGGTGCCTTCGGGAAGAGTTCTGCAGGCGGCCAGAGCAGGGCAGGAATCCTGAGCCAGTGCTTTCACTGGGACATTGTCAAAATTAACGTCATGGCTAACTCCCGTGGGCACATACTCTGCTGAATGCCAGTTAGAAACATTTACAATAATAATTACGATAACAATTCTTACCTGCTCACAGACAGACTTATCGTCAAATTACATTAGATTGTTTTTTAATGTGTTTTAAAAGGCCTGGCCTCCTAGAACGGCTAAACTTTTTAAGCTTGATCCATTCAGCTACCTGACACTCCGAAACAATTCATGTTTGCTTCCTGAGGCAGCAAGAATCATTTGACTGTGGTCTGACAGCATTTGGTATCGTGCAGAATCCAAGAGCAGTCCTTGATAATGCCAGAAGCGGGAAATCAAACTGAGGGATCTTAAGAACTTCCTAGCTGGATTGAAATCCAAGTGCCTGGTAGATGACTGTTTCCCAAAAGCAAGGTATGTGGGAAATGTCCAAATTGCAGCTGTCCTTACATTGGTCTATCAAATAAAGAGCAGCATTTGCAGCTTAAGTGTTATATATTAGTATTCATCCTAGGACATTAAAAAAAAAAAAAAGCCTACTATCCACAAGAGAAAAACAGATTAAGGAGTACTTTATGAACAGTTCCCCAACATCAGGGAATATATTGTCTCATTACGAAGGTAGCATGCAGCACTGCTGGCTCATTTATTAATGACCAACTGCTGAACTCAAGTCACAGTTACAGCACAGGGTTGGTTGTTAGCTGTCAGAGTCAATATTAGCGAAGCTGAGCTGCCTGGATTTCATTCCCGTAGAAAACATGCTTCATCTGCAAGCAAAAAAATCCCACCCAGCTTGAAAGAGATTTGATTCCTGCAGATCAGCCAGTTATAGAGAAATTTTCTTTTTAAACATTCCTTTCAGGCATAACTAGGGAATTAACAGCTGAAGTGGAAAAAATGGATGATGGCTATTTGAGCAGCATAATGAACTTCCAAAAAACAAAGGCTGGTAAATCAGTATTAGAATTTACACTTCAGGAAAAGAAGTGACATTTTAGAAACATCAATCAGGAGAGGTTCAGATGTCATCTCCATCTTCAAAATATTGTACCTGTCTGAACAAAAAGAGAATCGCTACTGTATAATGCTCCAGGTCTTCTTTGACAGGTACACCACCTTTGACAGATGACGTATTTTTCCTCAAGAGCTCCACACAAGACCTTTACCTTAGCCATTGTGCAACACAAACCAATGACAGCGTCACACTGATCTCGTCCTCACTAAACTGGCAATCTGCAAGACAGGTAATCAAAGTCAGAGTTTCAATTTTGCACTGCACAGTTCTCTACGAGATTTGCATTACTTATTTGAGGAGATAACAAGCCCTGTAACCACGGTTGCCTACAGCCAACTTATTTCATTGAGACCCGTCCATATTCTGAAGTTGAGAGTGTACTTTCTTGTTGAAATGGTCTCTAAGCAGAAAATGAAGGCCTATCACAGAGACAATAGTCCAGCTAAGTCAACAGCCAAAAGATTTATCAGAAAAACTAGCAGCAATCATGAGGTTCTCCACCTTTCTTCACCCTTTACCTGCCATTTTCGAAAAAGTAACCAATCTCATTAAAATGAGTTTCATTACAAAGAAAAACAAGTATTCACCCAGACAAGCACTCCTGTTGGTGTCAACATAATTGCTCTGAGCAAACACAGGCCAGAAAGCTCTTTGGTACATCCTTATTCAGAACTTAACATTTTAGTGACTGGACAAGGGGCAAAATAATACCTTTCATGAATTTAACTGACATTGCATGAGGAGTACATCGCCCCATAAAGCCCTACTATCGTGCTACAGCAATAATATCATGATACAGACACAGGACTTTATCCCAAACCAATCTTGCTTAACCAACAGGGGAAAAAAGAAAAACAAAAGAACCTACAGACTCCAAATGTATGGCAGATTTGACCGGGGCATCACTGTTTGAGCAATTTTAACAGCTTGCCTGTTTGAGAAAGAATGAGGAAAAATAATCCATTTCAGTTCAAGCAGCTCCCGAGACAAGCGCTGTTAAACGCCAGGTTCTGTAACATATGCAGCCACCAGCCTTTTCCCTGCCCTGCCACTGGTATGCTTTTTTACAGCTGTTTGATGTGGTGTGGCTTTGGGCATGAATCTGTAATTTATACTTTCACATTTCTAGTAAGATTCTTTACTGATCTGCCACTCCTTTCTACAGATATTAAAAAAAGAGCTATACAAAACATTCCTATAAAAAACCCAGCTCTTTAAAGGTTAAGTGTTTGAAAACATAACGGTTTTATTTGGAATAAAATACAGCACACATATGAACAGGGACAGACGAACAAGTAGAATGCACTATTAAGAGGCTTCCAGATAAACGCAAGGCAAAGGATTACAAGCAAAAGACTTGAGAGAAGTAAGCTGTTTTCTGGTGAGGTTACAATAAAAAAGGAGATGAAAACATCTAAAATAAGTTATTTCCCAAGAAAGTTGCTCCATTAGCAACTTCGCTATGCTTTTTCAGATTACCGCCTGCCCTGGTTTCAGCTGGAATAGAGTTAATAGTTAAGAATACTGGCAAAATCAGAATCCGTATTCTGATGTTCAAATTGGTTTCAAATAAATTCAAGTGAAAAAGTATAACTCCAATTAGTGGCTTTATTTGAAAAGATCAAGTGCTTCTGCTATAAAGCGTATTTACCTCACTGTCTAATGAACACCCTCCAGCAAAATGTTACTGACCACATTTTGCTGAGGTATGAGACGTCCAGTGTGAAATAATATTACAGAATCCGCGTGTTTCTTTTTTTTTTTCCTCCTACTTTTTACTTCCACTGATGCAATTTTCACATATAATGCCACTTCATGGCTACATTAACTATACAGAAGTAACAACTGGAGTTTCCACCTCAGAGACATCAAAAAGCTCTAATGCTTTTTTTTAATCTTTTTTTTCTTTTCTTAACAAAAATAAACTCCTTTCTTTGCAGAGAACGGTCTCAGTTCTTCAATAAGCTCCTGTTGCTATTTCTTAAGGAATGTCAATGGTTAACAATTAAAAACATGACTACAGAAACTAATACCTATGAATTGTAGGTTTATAAGGAAGTAAGATAGGAGTTTCAGCATCTTATTAGTATTAATAAAAAGTTATTTTAAGCACTAGAAGCAAAAAATATACCACTCAAAACAAAAATTATTGAAAAATAATACCAGTCTACATTTTCTTTCTATGGCAGCTTCTGATAGATCAGATGTTCTTGGTGTTTTAGTCCTCTGGCTCATATCTGAGGATAAAAAAAAGAAAAAAAAAAAAAAAAGAGTAGAAAATAACCAAGAGACATTTTGTCTCTAAAGAAAATATGAAACACAAGTAATAAATTACTCCCACTAGTGACACATTCCTGTCAAGGCTCACTGTATGACTTAGGGCACAGACAAATGTATATACTCTTTAGACTATTTTCTCCTTTTAAAATTGGCCAGTTTACCAAACAGTAGAATGAGGGAATGACCAGGAACCTACCCACAAATCCCAAAACACAGGCAGAAATTTAAAGAGAAGTTTTAAGCTCCACCTCTGTCCTCCAACAGCATAGGTCTAACGCATCCACGTTGCCAAAGCTCACTTGACATTTGCAGAATGATAAGTCTTCTAGGCAATATAATGGCCAGGGTGTATCTTTCTTTACTTGATACAGCCCGAACCCTGTTTACATACTGTGGACTTCTCACTCCCAAAAACAAGTGTGGAAGAAATAAGATAATGCCAAAGCATCTGGTACATCTCCCACCTGTATCTCTGTGTGTAGCACCTGGGGGCTTATCTGCCACATCCTCTCCATACTAAATTCTCTCATCATTTGCTACACAGGAGCTGGTGCTGCACACATCAGTCCTATTCACCTAGCATCTATTAAAATGATTGGCTTGTCAGAAATCGGGGAACAGCCTCCTAGAAATTCTCTTTAACAGAAAATTTATAGTCTGTTTATAAATGTGAAGCTATCTCTAAAAAACAAAATGGGAGGAGAACATGAATCCAGAACAAGGATCCTGTTTGGACAGACAGAACAGCACCACTTACTTGGAAAGCTTTTTACGTAGATCCTTTATCTGTTCATTCTTCTTAGTGAGAATCTCTTTCATGTTGCGATAGGCAGCTGTTTGCTGAAATTTCTTCTCTAATTCCTACATAATAATAACACCAATATATTATTTACATACTTGAAAACCAGGCTAATACGCTGTTAAAAAAGATGGCTTCCTTTTCCTCCTCGAATTCCAGAACAGTAGTTTCTCTAATTTATTCAAATTTAGATTAAGTCAGCTAGTAGATTCAAATGATATTACTGGGAGAGACAGAGAAACACAAGCTTTATTTTCTAATGAAATCAGGCTAAAAGTCTTCTGAAGATTGGGAATATACTTTTCATTCAAAAATGTCTATGTAGACAAATGGGCAATTTTTAAGTATTCATCTAGTTATAATTACTCAGTTAGTTGTTTTTGCTGTTTTCTGTATAACGTGTTTTTCCACTGAAATAACAAAAATACACCGTGACCCAGTAAACTCTGCATCCCATAGTGTACGCTTGTTAAATTACTAATCAGTTAAAATGTGAGTAAGGATCTCATCTTTACATTACAATAAAATGCTAACCTTTTCAGCTGTGGATAGCTGATCCTGAACCTTAAGCAAGTCATGTTTTGTTGTCACCAAGTTCTCTTCCAAGAATTTTTGGTTTGCAGTAGAGTCATTCAAAGTCTTCTCAAACTGGCATTTCAAAGCTGCCACTTTATTCTCCAGTTCAGCAATATCCTGGTTTGCATTAGCCTTCAAGAGAAGAATATTTGAAATATGTCAAATGCAAGAGAAGAAATATTTAAAATGTCAAGTGCAAAATTCCAGATAAAGTGGGTACATCTTGATTTTTAATAATCATGTTCACGCTATTCCTGTAAAGCCTAAATTACAAGTGCTTTAATTAAAAAAAATTAGTTAAAGCACTAACTAATTTATAACTTAAAAAAATTGTTAATAAATGCATTTTAAAGATGTCTGGAATGTCTTCTCTGCCAGCTTGAGATTTCAAATTCTTGTACTTCAGTTCTTTAGGAATTAGGTGAAGCCATGGGATGAAGCATATCACAAGAAGTTACTTAGCATACAGAAATAGTAAATGACAGTTTAAGATCTGAATGTCTATGCTGTAATGTATTTTTAAAGCAGGTAAAATACCACAGGCATTTCAAAAGCCATTACTGTAATACAAGTAGGAAAGGATGAAAGTGTTAAGGCTCATATCATCAGTCAGGTACCGATATTGCACTGTTCTCACACGCATTACAAAAAGAGCCTCCATAGTTGCTTTTGAAGCAACTTTCTTGTTTCCCTGTGAGAAGAAACAACCCAAACTCTTCTGGCCATCAGTTCTGGGTCACAAAACATTATATTCATGTAACTGTTCTATGGATTTCCATTAAAAAAAAAAGCCCTCTCAGGTTTAAAAGTTCAAGTTCAAACTCTCAAAAGTATAATGACTCAGGGTGATGCTGAACCAGCAGCACCTTAAAAAGAACAAAAATGTAAAACTAAGGAAGCTATGCTCCTTTTTCTGTGTGGAAGGCAAGATCTGAGCATAGGAAACCATTGGTAATAGTACCTGTATAGAAGAAAAGCTTATTTTGAATTTTGAGACAGAGTCCAAGGCTGCAGTGCTGAAAAGCACTACATTGTATAACGTTTCAGATCAGAATAGACAGTGATCATTTTTCTACACTGTGACATAAGTCAATTACATAAAAATTCTAAATCTTCAAGTTAAACTGATCCAACAGAGCAGTTACTCCCAAACCGTGGTTCACACTTGGTATGTGGAACCATATTAAAGTATAAAAAAAAAAAAAAAGAAAAAAAAAGGTAGAAATCTGCTGAGCTAAGAGTTTGTCCTAAAGAACCGTTGTGGTTTGGCAGTCATTTGTTTGTCCAAAGAGTTTGAAAACTACTGCTTTACTGAGCAACTGGGTTCATGTAATTTTATTGACACCCATCCTATAAAAATATGGAGTGACACCAGATAAAATTTAGCATTTTCTCCAAACAACTAATACTTTAATTGATTAAATACAGTAGTACATTTCAGCACTGTGTCTACTAGCTAGTTTCAAGAACATATATATGCCTGTAAATAGAAAATGCAAGAGCTGGAGAAGAAAGTGATGGATTATAGAGAGCAAATTAGGACATGAAAGCTGAAGCAGCCCTGACATTGAGGCCAATTCATGTTTAACCAAAAAAGTAGGATGAGATTTGGTTCCAATCTTTTAAAACTACAAACACTATTACCCAGGATTTACTAAACCGCTTTAATATTTTAAACCTTTAATAATTTAAGGCTTAAGAAAACAGATAAAGAAAATATTTGCCATGAGTAATAAATCAAGTTCCCTATTAAATAATGTTATTAAATAATATTATTGAATACAGATTTTGAAAGTTATTAGATAAAATTATCACATATTAAGAAAACCAAGTACATACCATAAACCAGAGAGAAAGCAAAATAAAAAGAAATCAGGATTAAAATATTAAAATTAAAGTGGAAATGTTTTACGATATTGAACTTCACTTCCAAATCTGTAAATACTGTAGAATTTTTAAAAGTCAGTTTCTCAAAATAATGGGATTAAAGTGCTCTAGTTTTGTTAAAAGTTTGAAGTGAAATGTTTTAAATTTAAGAAACAATCACATGAACAAAGTTTAGAAAATTCTAATTATTGACAAAATAAGGGTACAAACTGAAAAAAATACTAAGGTGACCTGAACAGATTTATCTGTGTCAACCTGCATGACTTCTAGCTCCTTACGTTTTTCTTTCTGCAGCAGCAATTCACCATGCTTGAATCCTCATTTACAAAAAAATTAAGAACCTTAAGTAATAAAAATAAACAGTGAACCATTTTTGACGGTATGCTGATATGGGCAGAACTACATAAAATCAAACATTGTTTTAATGTCATCTGACCCACAATCATTGACATTTGTAGCAAAACTTCAACTGATGTTTAAGAATGTAGGACACTGCACACTTACATGTAAGTATTTGGGTTTTTGAAGTCTGAAGTGAGAAGCAGCAAGCCTGGCTGGGCCATGTCAATATAAAGTGTGACAAATGCTCGAAAGAATTAGTGTTTTATTGTTGCTACAAAAACCAGGTTAGATATCATTCTTTCATTAGCAAGCAGGAATAAACAAACCGAAATAAGTTTGTATCTGTTAATACAAATATCACCCCTGAGAATATGAACTCTGGCATACTACTTCCTGATAGTACCTGGAATAAAACTTTCTGATAATAATTTATCATGGTCAATGTGACACAAAATCAGAGTCATAAAATCAGCTAACGTTCTGGATTATCTGCTGACTGACAGACCAGCAGGAACATGACAATGTCAGCAGGA